CCGGACGAAGAAGCAGGAAAGAAGGGAAGGAGAGGCCCTTTAATAGCCGGAAGAACGAAAACGAAAAAAATTACATTTCGCTAAAAATGAAAAGTGACCAAATGGCTATTTGTGTAATAAGTGATAATTGAGTTATTTTAGTAAGACATTTTGACCTAGTGAATATTTTGTCTAATTTTCGCTCATTGTATTATCTTATATTTTTCTTTCATGTTAACGAAACTCTATAATGAGTTAGGTAAATACCGGGCATCTAAATATTTCAGAAAAATAAAATTAAAAAGCCCGTTTATATTAGATTGTGTTTGAGGAGAAGATTTGGTGTAGGCATTTTTTATAAGTCTTTAATTAATCAAAAGATCTTCGTTTTCTTTGTTCTTTTTCAACCTATAATTTTGAAATTAAGGTAATGAATTTGTAAAAAAAAAAAAAAAAAAGATTGATCATAACTCATAAGATAATGTTCCCACTATTTTGCCTTTCGCACAAATAATTTTTCCATAAAAAATGAGGTTGATAAATGATCAAAAAATTAATTAATAATTATGAATTAATAAACGATCACAAAAGAGATTGACTATATGTATGGCTAACTCAATAATAATATTTATGTTGTCCTAATATCTAATAGTTTGCTACTATAAAATATAATAATAATAAGTAATTTTAAGCGAGGGTAACTTGAGTAAATATCTTCTATTATGTTTTTAATTGAAAAAAAATAATTATTTAGGTGAATGGCCTTTTATAGTAACACCCACTTAGGTATAAGAATAAATATAAAACTTTTTTTAATGGCAAAAGTATAAATGTCATGTAACATACAAATGATGGATTAAAATACTTGATCTAGTAAATAAATTATTTGGCAATTTTTCCTTGATTTATTAGATTTCTATTTTAACTATTTCCTCTAGCAAAAAAGGAAAAAAAATAAGAAGGTGGTAATATCTATTGAGACTTCGATCACCAACTTTTTTGTGATTCACTAACTATAATCACACAATATTTAATTGTAATATTAATTAATTATTTTAAAATTTTGTCAAATTAAAATACATGTATTTAAAATTATATAAAAATACTATAAATCACTAAATTTATGATTGAAAATATCTAAAAGCTTTTAAAATAAATTTTATTTGACTATAAATACAATGATACTTATATTCTTTAAAAGTTAAAATAATCATAATTTACTTATAAATTATTTTCATGTACTTGCAACCATTTGATAATTGTGAGAAAAAAATTAGTAAAAATAATCATTTGTTTTTTATTTTTGAATTCAAAATTATTACTCTTGTTTTACATAAAGTGCAAATTATTTAAAGCTAGATCTTGAAATTCACATCTCCAAAATCTACAGTAGCATTGTTTGACTTATTTATTTATTATTATGTTCTTTCTTCATTATTTATTATTTTTAACATTGACTAATAATTCAAATGGAAAATTCATAAATGTGTTACCTATTTTTCACAACATTGACTAGATTTTTCTCTTATTTAAATTAAATGTTCCATAAGATACTCTATGATTTATATAGTTGAAAATAGACAAAACATAAAAATATGGAGGGTAAATAGTATGCCTTTTAAGACTAAAACATGTGTTTAAAGACTAAATATATTGTCATAATTTGGAAAAATAGAAAATTCTTCAAATAAGATAAATGATAGTCCTTTTTTGTGAATATTATTTTAAAATAATGGTTGATTTTAATGTTTAGTCAAAAAATTTAAAAAGGAAAATATGTTAAACAAGAGCATGAATATTTTTTTCAAAAAAAACTTGGAAGGTTAATAAAGAGATGACCAAATGTGCCTGGACGAGGCAGATGATATTTTCAAGTTTTACAATATATAAACGTTAATTAAATAATAAATAAATGTTAAAAAAAATGAATTAAAAGTGCTCTCTAAGTTGTGCTAGATAATTATCCATCACACAATTTTTAAATTCAATTTATGATAAATTCCGAAAGACAAAATTTTAATATGCCATCAAGTTGGACTAATAGTGTTGTCATAGTGACCAAATGTGAAGAACATATAATGCAAATGTAATTTTAAAAAATATCACAATTACAATATTTCATCTCTTTAGATCATAAATTATTGATTTAATAATTTAATTATGGTTTTGATTTTATTTTTTACCGAGTCAATTTTGTAATGGTTTAAAATTTTTCTTGATAACCTCATAATAGTTGAAGATAAATCTTCTAGGTTCATTATATTTTATTTCTCAAGTAATTCAAATAATACAAAATTAGTTCATTTCTTTTAGGGATAATGGTCTGAAAAATATCCCAACTTTGGTCGGATTTGTTGTTGCGATACTAAACTTTCATGAGGACCTATTAACTCCCTAAACTATTTAATACTGTATTTTAAACATATATATTTGCCCACGTGGACATAAAAAATAATGCAAAATTATAAGTAGTAATATGTCCACGTGGGCACATATATAGCTTTAAAATACACTATTAAATAGTTCAAGGAGTAAAAAATACGGTATTAAATAGTCTAGGGAGGTAATAGGTCCTTATGAAAGTTTAGTATCGCAACAGCAAATCCGACCAAAGTTGAGGTATTTTTCAGACCTTTATCCCTTTCTTTTATATCAAATGTTATGCTTTTTCTACTTGCAATTAATCTTCGTAATATTATGTACATTGTATTGTTAATACTTATTATATGTTGAAAATATAATTAAATAATAAAAGTGTGTTTTGTCTAACAACTTAAGCTTTTAGATAAGATAGTCATGCACTTCATCATGTTATCAGAGTCAGGTTCATCCCAATTTGTTGTTCACCGATGTTGGACCCCATTTAGAAGTGTTCACGCTCAAATTGAGGTCTAGGGGCGTGCGGGGAGTGTTAAGAAGTCTCACATCGGTAGAGGGATGAGAAATTGGTCTTTTTATATGGCTTTGGACAAACCTCTCCTCATGAGCTAACTTTTGGGGTTGAGTTAGGTTTATGTGTAATATCTATACATTATACACTAGTAAATCATAGAGTAAATTTTAGGATTAGCAAGCATAAAAATCATATTTGTATGTTATAGCTATAGTTTGCATAATTGCGCTCTATGACAAATTTTATGTTTGCTATGGAGCATCAGGGCGTCCGTGTCTATAAAAATGCATTTGTATATGTATATGTTCTTTATGTTTGTATATCTGCATAAAATTTGAATTTGTATACAATTGATTCGAAATAAAACATTTGTATATCAAATCTATATCAAATCTCTCTCTCTTTATACAACACAAATTATGCATTGTAATTTGTATAATTTGTGTTTGTATGAAGTGAGAAAAAGAGAAAGACAAAAGAGAACTGGTAGGGGGAGATCTATATTTGTATAATTATTAAGTGTATAGGACGAAAATATATGTATTTGCATTTGTATATACAGTTTTCTCTCGCTTTATACAAGCACAAATGCAATTTATACATTTGTGTTTGTATAAAGTGAAAGAGGCGAGGGAAGTGGCGAGCGAGACTTCTAGGGAGAGAGGCGAATGACAAGTGTTTGCTACAGATTGGAATTACATGAAACTATGGTTATATCATTTAGTTTGAATTAGAAGTTTGCTATTTTATACAATTTTTCCTAAATCATATTCAACTTAATGAAATTTGATTTTTAAACGCAAATTACCCAATAATTATTGGACCACTCTATTTAAATTCCTTTTTATCACTTTGTCTATTAGTAATTTTCGTTACATAATTATTTTGTGTGTAATCTTAATGGTTAACCTGATATATAGATAAATAATCGATTAACTAATAGTCAATTAATCGACATGTTACAGCTTGTTTGGATGATTGTTATCTGTTGTATTGTATTATATTGTTAGTTTAAATACAATGTTTGTTTTTATGGTTACTTAAATTCTATTATGTCATATTGTTTAAATCAATCGTTAGGTAATAACGAAAAGACCCATTTTATGTAATCGATTTGGTGTGATCACGTTGTTACTTCAATATTTTCTTCTCATTTTATCCTTATTTATTATTTAATAATAATCATATTTCATCTTTTATCTTATCTATTCATAGTAGTTCTACTATGTACCTTACTTTTCTTATAGGTTTACTATTCAAATTATGAATGTGTGAAATTATGCAATGATAGAGAACGATACAGTCTATCCAAACATTGTATTCATTAAAACAATATAATAAAATACAATACGACACGTTACAAAAAAATATGTACAAGCCATGTGGGTTGACCCAAAGTGCACCCACCAAAATACGATACGATACAATATAATACAATACAATTAGTGGCGGAGCCATAATTTTCAATAGGGGTTCAAAATGTGAAGAAATAGACACACGAAGTAACCGAAGGGGTTCAACATCTACTATATATATCTAAAAAATTATTTTAACTATGTATATATAATATAATGGGTAATGCTAAATGATCAAAAAATTTAAAAAGTCTATAGTATTCTTTTTATTTAAAGTTAAACTGATTTGTTTTTCATTTTTTAATTAAAATATATTAAAGTTAAAAAAGTAAAAATATTTAAAAAGGTAAAATAACATTTTTTAAAAATTTTTGGCCAAATTTGTGGCCAAAAGGATTTTTCCTAATATAATTTTCCGCCGAAGGGAGTTCGGATGAACCCCAAACTATAAGATGGCTCTACCACGAAATACAATACAATACATTATGAAACAATACATAGTAACCATTCAAACAAAGTATTAATTATTTTTTAACAAAATGTAGTATGTTTATACTCGATAATCGAATCGATAATCTTTAATATCAAGTTGAATGGATCGATATACAGTTCTAGTGAGAGGTAAACAGTGGATAAATAAAAATAGACGGAAATAGGTAAGGGTAAACAAAAAAGAAAAAAACATAATCCTTTCTCTTCTCGTTAAGACTTGAGAGATCCTTTTTCTTCTCTGAAATTCATCATTCACAGATCAGCTCTCTCTCCTATCAACAATGGCGGCGGCGGGATTTTTCTCTAATACCAAATACTCCGACAGCTTAACACTCGTCGGAATTTCAATCTGCACAGCTATAGTATGTGAAGCAATTTCATATCTCCTTATATACCGCACTACTTCATACAAATCCCTCAAATCTACAATCGATAAAGCTTCAAAAAAGCTCGAAACTATGAAGACTCAGGAACCGGTTCCATCTGTACTCACGAAGAAGTCGAAGACAAAGAAGATTGATCGGGTCGAAACTTCCTTGAAGGAGTCAACCCGGGATCTCTCCCTTTTCAAATTCAAATCCGGATTCGTCGTCGCCGTAGTGTTGTTTATGGTTTTCGGGTTTCTTAACAGTCTTTTTGAAGGGAAAGTTGTTGCTAAATTGCCGTTTATACCCTTTCGTCTTGTTCAGAAGATGAGTCACAGAGGGTTACCGGGTGATGACATGACGGATTGTTCAATGGCGTTTTTGTACTTCCTTTGTTCGATTAGTATCAGGACGAATCTTCAGAAGTTCTTAGGGTTTTCGCCTCCTCGTGGATCTGCTGGAGCTGGGTTATTCCCAATGCCTGATCCAAAGACCAATTGATAGATCCAGCAGAACTGGGTATTTGCTTTTTTTGGTTATTGTTTAGATTAATAATCTTTTTTTCTACGTAAAGTTTTGAACTTGATTGATTTTTCTGCTCCTAGATTTGGAATTCATAATAAGAACTTTGATTAGTTTGAGTTGTAACTGGATTCTGTAGAATTAGTTTTACTTGATCTTTGGCTTATATATTTTGACTCCCTTTTCTAGGTATTGAACTTTGGTTAACTGTTTCATTGCCTTACTTGAGGTTGATAGTTAATGTGAAAATAGTCCTAATCTGATGAATCTTCTTTGAGAATCGGACGGATTGGATAAGGAGAATTCATACAGCTGAACCCAACTAGTTTGGTGTTGAGATGTTGTCGTTGATTTAGTTCATCGAAATCTTAATAGATGATGGGTAGATCTCACCGGTATTGCTTTAATCTTTTGCTATGATATAGCTCTACTTTTATAAAAAGAGGATCTTTGCTATGATGAAACTCTATTGTGTGTGTTTGTGTGCTTTACTTTTGGAGGATAAGTAAATACAATGTATTGATCTAGTATTCGATGATTCTTCTATAAGCCAAACCTCCTGACTAATGAGGCTTCTATCTGGATACGCATATAAGAAACTTTGTTGTTCTTTTTTGTCCTTCAAATTGGAATTGTATCCAAGGTTTGGTTAATTCAGTTTCTTACTGAAGTAAGTTGTTGCATTGATGGCATCAAGACGATGCAATGGTTACAAAAGAGATATGGTGAGCTCCAGTACATTTGTCTATGTTAGAACTGGGAACTGACTACCAAACAATCTCCATAAAGGCCAGTGTATGGGAAAAAAAAGAAGGAAGACATGCTAACATAATGAGATAACTTCTATGGGATGTATTTTTATTTGAGATGCTTCACGGCATATCATTTTTCCGTTCCAATTCCTATGATTTCTCTTCTAGTTTATGCCTTTTAGACTAAATTATAGCATCAGAAAACCAAATTCCCTATAGATGAATCGAGAAACTCATTCACCATAGGGAATCTATGATCTTTTTAGTTTCAGGAGCTTTGCCTGAATAAATAAACACCAAGCACTATTTAACTAGTTGTTACAAAATTAGTATCAACTTGCCCTTCCTTTTTTCATCCCCTTCTCGTTTACTACCCTGTCTCTCTATAGTGGTACGTTCAAGTCCCAAGTCTCTTTGAGGTAAGCTTCTTATGTTCTGTATCCCATATCTTCCCTAGGACCTCTATCTGTTCATAAGAATCCATGGGATGGTATAGTTTCAATAGTGGATCCCTTCGACTTTCACCTAGTTTACATTTGCTTGATCAGATATTCAAGAAATTCTCCGGACACACTACTAACTAGTTATACCTGCATCATGATATTCAGCGGATTGCAGTTGAAAAGTTGGCAGCTTTGATGCTAAAGATATTCTCATGTATCTAGGAATATCCAAACTCAAGCGGTCTTTTACTTGGTACACATCCTTGTCATTCTAACTGATTTTATGGATTGTTAATAGTCTGTGTTCTAGTTCTCTGCAATGTACACCCCAACAGTCTGAATGTTAACAGTTACTCTGCAGTTCATTCAGACAAACGTTGGAAAGAATTTGGCTCTTTCTGGAAAGGAACTCTTTTCTTTTTCAATTATCAACTGGTAGATTTTGAGAGCTTGGTGTAAAGACGTTACTCTGTGATTTTGAGAGCTTGGTGTGAAGATGTTGCTCCTTTTACAACAAGTATATCGAAGTGTTCTTACTTGGGGCACACTTACAGATGGAGTAGTAGAAAACCTTCATCCCATAAACTTGTGTATGCTTTCTTGAACTCTCATTACTTCGAACAAACTTAGGATGCAATGATAGGGAACCTTGATTCATTACCATTTACCATAGTTTTTCAACAGTAGAATTTGGGTCATGCATATGGAGACCACTACTCCAGAAGTACCCTTCTTGTTAGTATTGTTGCCATGAGTGGTCTTATTTAGGGGTGTGCAAAAACCGAACCGACCGATAAATTGAACCGATAAAAGTGTTATTGATTTATTGTTATTGGGTTATTGGGTTAACGATTTTTTAATGGTTTTATAAAAAAAATTTATTGGGTTATCGATTCGGTATTGGTTTTTAATATTGGTTTATTGGGTAAACCGATAACCCATTAAGACTAGTAATTTACTACTTTTACTTGTACATAAATATTATATATAATTTCAATACCTTAGTAGTTTATATCTGTGTCCTTTAGCCTTCAATTCACACTTCACAATGACTTTGAGTTCACAATTTTACATTATAAAAACGTTAAAATCTAAAGTAAGAACCCTATTCCTCTTAATTTCTCTTTGTGTTACGCTTGTATAGTTCTTTCCATGTTTGTTATTATTGTTTCTATTTTATGACCATTTGTAAAGTTACATTATTGTATTTTCGCATCAAATTTATTAGAAAAGTCATATATTTATTTTATAAGTATTTTCTTATTGGTTAAACCGAAAATTGAACCGTTAAGGACCAAAATCAATAAACCGAAAACCGATAAAAAATATCTTATTGGTTTGATTATTGGTTTAACATATTTAAAAATCGAAAACCAATAAATCGAATCGATAATACATAAAATCGAACCGAATCGATCGATGCACACCCCTAGTCTTATTGGATTTTGCTGCTTTGTACACATGCTCGACGTTAGTATGAGAAAAGAAAAAGAAAAGAGCAGAAAGGGAAGAACCCATTCTAACTGATCCAAGGTCATATAGTCTATTAGCAGATAGAATGAAAGATGAGTAGACTTGGGCCAGGCTGAATGTATTATGAAGCTTACACTCATTCACACTGGTTCATCCCGCTATATCTTAGGCTTTTTGCTTTTTTAACGTAAAAGGTTCTTGGCCATTTGTCAAGACCTAGGAATCCGTTGGACATTTCAGCAACATGATGTTGCATTTTAGTGCTTTTACCATAAAGTTGAGCTTTTTCTAAGTGGGTTGCTTCACGCAAGACATTGCTTAGGACTAACGAGTCACGTAACATGTTACTGATAATACATAATACATCCTCTCACCTTATAAAAAAAAAAAGAAATACATAATACATGCTCTCTAGAACTTGGTCTTTCAGAATGGTGTTTATACTAAATCATACAAACATGATAAATTAAGGTGAAAATGTGTATTAACTAACTATGGTTTAACGATAGCAGTATATGTGAATGTTTGTGTCATGTATTTATTGATTTAATATAAATACGAGCGTGTACAAAAGTTCTTATCTATTGCATTCTCAACCAATTCAAGAAAAGGTGAATCTTGATACTTCATGTAATATTCAGAAGTGGGCTGGAATAGGAATACTGATGGCCCAATTATTAAAAGAATACTAATGGCCCAATTAAATTATTCAACAAGAAATTTCATAGGGGGTCCTTCTTAAGGGATGTTACAGTATTTAACTTTTGGCCACGTTAAAGAAAGCTTAACAAAGTCATTGGGTGCACTCTTCCTTCCTCCTCCATCGTCATATGTACGATAGAAAATTAAAGACTCATTACTTATTTATCGTTGATTTGGTTGAAGAAACTTGAAAAATATGCCATTATTCGTGTTTTTTAGCTTGTTCCAATTTATATGATATAGTTTAATTGGAAATAAAATTTAAGAAATATGAGAAAACTTTGTAAAATTTCAAAACCACCCTTAAAAGCAGTACACTTTTATGGACGTTTTACCGAATAAGTGGGACTCAACGTGGTATAATATTGATAGTGTCAGTGGTACTCAACATGAGTATAATATTAATAGTGTTATTGGATATTTATTAAATAAGAAAATTCATCATTCTTTTTGAGACTGATTAAAAAAAAAACGTGTCATATAAATTGAGACATGGAGTAGTCAAGAACTCTATGAGGAGGAAGTGAATCCAAAGATATCAGTTGAAGAAGAGAAAATGAACACATAAAGAGTAGATCGAGGTAACAACTATGTGTTAATGTTCATGTAAGTCTTCAATACTGAAAATTAAAAAAGACCGAGTAGATCAGTGTACAAAGCATTCCGCGTTCATAGAAAGTTCAAAAGAAGGATTGTACTCCAAGCTGGAGTGTGATGTGGATAACTTATAATCCCAATTATGCGAGAACTAGCTAGTGAGCAGTGTTTTCACGGATCGAACTTGCGACTATTTTATCATTATTCTAAGGCTCCTGTTCAAAAAAATTGACATTAAAGAGAGTAAATATATTTAGCTAAAGTAGTTTAAATAGTTCAAGATCTCTCATAATATTTCCTACCACATGAAGAAATTAAAGCATTGAAGCACCAAATCCTCTTTGAATCTATGGATAGTGATATTTCGACAGCTTTATTTAATATTTAACGACTTAGTTATTTATTTTAAATATAAAAATAAAAAATTATTAGCTTTAAAAATTTTCAATGAATTTATTTGATGAAATCTTAAATAAGATGACCTGGCCAGAAAAAGAATCAGTTTGAAATAATTAATATTTGTCATGTATCTCAGGTAATATGTAATTAATGTTCTCGTCTCACTTAATTAAATAGTTGTATAGTTTTTGTTATAATTATAACTAAACACATGATTATATAAGTTACATATTAAAAGGATAGGCAAGTGTACTAATTTCCGTTTTGTGTGAGGTCCAGGAAACTAGGAGTTGAATTATATCGGATCTTACCTTGTCTTTTTATATAAAAAAAATTGTTTTCACGATTTGAACTCATGATCTCTCAATCAATCAGGCAATGATAACTTTTAACTAAACATTGCATATATATCTCCTTCATAATATTATATGATATGATCAAATAAAAAAAAGGAAACACCTAAATTGATAAAGGGAAAAAAAACTTGCCCTAGATTAAGTGACGTAGCTAGAGTACAATCTATATGTTCACGAAGATCAACAACTTTTACCTATACCTTATATATAATACAAAAACAAAAATTGTTAAATATCTATAAAGATTTGATTATAATGAACTAATTTATTATATATTAATTCGAGATCGTTATTAATTTAAGATAAGTATTAAACGTACATAGCTAGCTAGTTATTATAAATTGAAGTCTATGAGAATCGTAGAAAGAGGACCGCTATACCCTAGCAAAGTCATATATATATATATATATATATATAAAGCTACTTATAATAAAACTTAAAATTTATAAAATTTATATAATCCATACTATTTAATTTTTTATAGTACAAAGAAATAATCTTCAAGATGTATATATGTTGATCTTTTTTAAAAAAATCTAAATAACTTATAACCAAAAATAACTTACGACTTATAATTCATTCGAACTTAATAATTTAGTTAGAAAGCTTTATAACAAGTATTAAGAAAATTCAACAAATATATAAATATAATGAATTTCAAACTTAGTAAATTAAATCAGTTATGATAAGATTTCAGACTCAAATTATAAAATTTAAATTTTGAATCCGCGCATCAACTTTAAACAACCCCTAATAACAGAACTAGTCAAGAATGTCAAGTTAATTATAATCAAAATTATAAATTATTATATCGACTTTGGTTAAATAATTAGCTTCTTTTTTTTTTTCTCTCTCTCTCTTTATATTAATATTAATTTTCCATCTCATCAATTAACTGGATTGTAGTTGTTAACCATTTAAGGGTAATTAATAATTATGCACCCTCTAGTTGTTAAAAATACTGTTCTAAACATTTATAGGACCACTTGTTGAATGATATCCACAAATTGCCAACAGAAATAAAGAACCAATATTAAATATAACAATTAAATGATCAACTTTGATTAGTTTAAACCAAATCTAAAAAAATATTCAAATTGATCCTTTTCATCACAAAGTTGTGTAATTTATATATAGTTTAATCCCTACAAAAGAGTGATTTTTCCACATTGAGTTGAATGCAATCTACTTTTAAATAAGTACTCCCCTTTACTTAGTTTTCGTTTTTATATGAATTAACTATTTGATTAAGATCTCATAAAATTCATCTTTTTATGTATTATTGTCGTAAAGTTTCGTGCAGAAGGCTAATCTTATTATTGAAAATATCAAATAGACACTACTAAAAAATTACTATTTTCCCATTGAATTTTTCATTGATAAATATTCAGTGATTAATTTTATAGATATTTTAATTAAATCAGTGTGAAAAGAAAAAAACATAGTAATTGTTTCATATAAAAAAAAATTAGAAAGCTTCCCACTATTTAAGGGTGAATTTGTTTTTTCATGCATTTTTTGAATTGATTCGATGGAAAATAGTACAAACTTTTCACTGATTCACGCAGAACCTTTGCTTCTAATAATAAGATTACTTAAACAAATTTCCCACTCATTTGAATCCGCTAGATCAAATGAGTTATAATTTTCAAGCTCGAACCTATAAAATTTAAAATTTTGAAATTTTACGACGCGTATAATTATATTGACTCTTCCTCTAAAATTACATTGGCCCCTACTGAAAAAAATTCTTTTGATGACCGGACGTATGTGCGGAGTAGTTTTTATGGATATGTCGTAATGGACTAATGGTACTAGACAACAACAAAAAAAAGTCTTATTAGGTTGTACAAAAAAATAAATGGAATTAAAAAAATTCTTAATATATGTCAAAAATAAAAGTATTTATCCTACAAAATTATCCTATAATATTTTTGAGTAGGTGAACAAAATATATTTCTTTGGTACGTTAACACTGTTATTTTTTTTGAGGTAAAAGGGTTAAATTTGTTTCTCTATACATTTACATTATAGGAAAAAATACTTAAATATATAACTTATTTTATCATATTTTCTAAAATTTTCTATCATTTAAATTTTTTATAAAAATTCATATTTTCCTCAGTTACTCTCCTATTTTAGGATACATCACTCTTACGTGATGTTCGGAACATGGTATAGGACAGGTGTGCCTTGTATCAACAAAGATAATGTATCGACACAAGTGTGTCTTGTATCAACAAAGGTAATGTATCGGGACACAATATATCATGACGTTTAGTGATGTATCCGAAATTCTTAAATTTTAAGGGATTTTTATAATGTAAATATGAGTAGGGATATGATGTAAATAACTCTTTAACACTATGAAATTTGTATAATTTTTACATTATTATATACTATGCTAAATTGATTTTTTTTAGTCTTTCGACCTATTTCTTTATTAGTTCATTAAGAAAAAAGGACACATTTCTATAGCTATAAACTATCTATTTTAATGTGAAAACTTTTATAGCCAATAATGCATCACAAGGGTCAAAATATACTTAAATTATTTTATTTTATTGAGTTTCCTATATGAACGGTTGAAAATGTGAGTTTTCTATTTGAACTATCATCCAATGATTAGTGAAACATACTTAGACATTGACTAGACCAGATGTTTCCAAGGGTGTTTGTCCATGAAATCTTCGTCCACCTAGCATATATAACAACTCTATTTGTTGACACATTAATTTTTAAAACATATTTTTAATTGATTTCTTTAAAATCCTAACTTTTCCCTTTCAAGTTGGAGATATCGATTCCATGAAGACGAGACCATGGCTTAGAAAGTGGAGAAGAAGATGGTGGCATGCCACAGTTGGAATAATTTAGTTTATACGGTAATAGTTTTAGCCTTTAACCTTAGCTTAACCAAATATTAATTTACTCAAATTTGTCATAGAATTATTTTCCACACAGAGTGCCATGTGACATAATTTTTTAAACAAAAGAGAGAGTACACACATCATAAAAATTAGTTGACGTTTGTTTCGCGATCTATTGAGTGATAGTTCAAGTAGGAAACTAACGCTCTCAATAGTTCATAGATGAAACTCATAAAAAATAGGGATAATTTAGATGTGTTTTTGATCCTTAACTCTTATTTAAATTTTTATATCAAATCAAAGTATGTCACATAAATTATAACAGATTAAGTAGAATTTCTAGCTAATTCATTTTTGTAAAAAATAAATGGTTACATGTGTATAGTTATATTATATGATAGTGTATTATGTTTTACATAGTTAACTTATAACAAACTCATTGAATAGACCACTTCCTTCATTGGTCCCATCATGCCCAATTCAAACCCCAATATATAAACAACATTCTTCAACTCCTCCTTTAGCATTTTCTTCTTTATTCTTCCAAATACCTCTCACTTCCTAGTGAAAAAAAAATATCCATGGAGAAGATGGAAAGAGAAGCTCTTGATTTCATGAATGTAGAGTCCTTCTCTCAACTTCCTATTACCCGACCCGTTAACGAAAAGCCTATTAGGCTTTTCGGTAAAGAATTTGGTGGTGGTGGTGGTGATAGTACTAATCTAACCACCACGGCCACCAACATGTCTGAATCTATCGACAATAATCCTTTTCATGATGAACCTGAAACAAATACGGTGAATCTTGCAAATTGTGCTGTTAAAGAAATTCATATTGACAAGAATGTTGAAATCATGAGGAAATATGAATGTCACTATTGTTTTAGGAGCTTTCCAACTTCACAAGCTTTAGGAGGCCATCAAAATGCACACAAGAAAGAAAGACTAAATGCCAAACGACCTCATCTCCAATCTTCAATAGTGCATGGTAAATATTTTATATATATAGTGTACATGTGTTTTTGGTATGACGAAAAATATTTTTCAAATAACAAGTCATTTTCTAGCTAGGAAATATAAAAAATATACTCCTTGAAGAATGTTTTCCCCTAAATAGTTGGACAAAATTAATTTTTCCAAGCATGTGATAATAGTTTCATATATTATTGTTTACTTTAAATATAATGTTTGTTTTGATTGACAGATCAACCGAGCATTTACGGGATAACGAACCGTCATCGCCTTGGTGAAGCAACTGCATCTACAAGATTAACTCATCATCATTCAACATGGACAAATATTAACAATAATACTCCTAGGTTTAATGGAAATGGCCATAATGTTAATATTATTAATCCTATAAATGGAAATCCATTGACATTTTGGCAGATTCCTCCAACAGTTTATCACAATAATTCTTCTTCTTCTGATAATAGTAATAATTTAGTTTTTTCAAATGATGATTTGATTAGGACTCCTCCAATGGTTAATGTTAGCACTAATTGTGAGAGCAATTTTGTCTATAAACCAAAGGGAGAAGTTCAAGATCATGTGAGTTTAGATTTGCACTTGTAATTACTTAAGGATCATAGTTAATGTAATCTAATTACTATAATATTTAATTTCTATAAAGAATTTGTGCTTAATTTGAAGAATGTTTGGATTTAATTATCATTATATTATGGTACACATAATTGTGTTGCGTTGTTGAATTTCACTTGGTGTAATTTTTAAATTATTAGTGTAATTTGAATTGCTGTAGCAGATTGTATGTCTTATTTTTATTACTAATTTCACTTTAATTAGATATGAAATTATCTTTTAGATGATTTAACAGCATAAAATTTTCTTTGAACCTCTGAATGAAAATTCGAAATCCATCACTAATTCAATGGTTAACATGATTGTGTGTGCATTGATGCTTTAATTTTGTACCTTTTATCTTTTCAGAGAAAGTCCCTACATTATTACAAATAGAGATACAATAAAAAGAGAGAGACCCTACATTAAAATTATGAAGTTATATCATGGCAAAACTAACTACTCCTAGTAATAAATTCTTTTTTTTTAGCCGGTGTCTGGAGTCCACATTGGAGCTCCGACTAAATTTGGATTGCGTTCTGCAGGGCCCATTCGAGGATGACACTCCTAACAGAATTTTCTCCATATCCAAGGCTCGAACCCGAGACTTCCCACCCGTGCACCACAACCCATGTTGGTCACTTTGTACTTTCATCACATTATAATTATAGTGTATCTTATGGACCTATGGTTATTCCTTGCTACTAAAAAGGACAAGACATGCTATATTTTTTAGACAGGGTATTGTGCTCATTACGAATAATTCAACTTAACATGACTCCAAATAGAAAGGTTTGAATGTCGAAATTAGTAAAAGACCATTAAGTAGTTGAGTGTTATCGCACTTTATGTGAGTCGCATGGTCTCTTATTTGGCAAGATGTATATGGTATATATGATGCTTCATTTACTTTATATTGATATTTGTTGTCATATTTCGTTGATATTTTGCTTTGATGACTTTTCTTTTAAGCTAATAGTTTAGTATAAATATTTCTTTTACCTCATAAAGGCAATGATAATGTCTAAATACATTTTATCCTCTGTCCTGGCCTCATTTATGGAATTACACTGTCATATAAAGTGGTACTTCCCATGATCAAATTTTTTCTTAATTAACTTTTTTTAAGAGGCATTAAAAAGAAAAAACACGATAGATAATTTGATACAGATACAATAAATGAGACAAATTTCTATTTTGATAGGGTCTTATATTTTGTTTCTCTCTGACAATGATCTTAAAAACTACTTCTGTATTTGTCAGTGAAAATGGAGCCCTAGTTAGGTATATTTTTGACCATCTGATTTAAGGTATGAAAAAGGAAACGATGAAATTAAACATTTTCTTTAAAGTGATATTTAATTTAGTTGAGGATATAATATATGCTCTGACATAAAGTAAATACATATGGTACAAACACAAGATATAATGACAATTCATTTTAGTTACCATCTCTACTGCCTTTTGGATAAATGCCTGAACTGACTCATCAGGTTATAATTTTGTACCCCCACCTCCTTAAATGTCATAATTTTTCTACAAAATACTTTTAGACCAATGTCTCTTTATTATATACATGAAAAGTAAAAGTATGATGGGAGATTTTCATTATTTTTTTTTTGTCACAATTTATGTGACACTGTTCGATTAAATACAAAATTTAAAAACCAACCAAAATTATGATATATAAGGAAGTGGTGGTAAAGAAATTATTTTCTAAACTCAGTGGAGATAAAAAGTACTAAGTAAGTCTTCCGAGCCAAAATGACCACTTTTTTCTCTAAAACACATGAATGACCTATCAATTTTTTTTTAAAAATCAAATGGGACAAATCGCTCCATCAGGAGCAAGATGCTTGAGCATAAATTAACCCCTTTAACTCCGTCAAAAAAAAATTCTTAAGAAAATTGTTGCCTGGGCAACAATTTCTTAAAAAAATCATTTAAATCGCTACCCCCAGACTTCCCATATAATTTTTTTTAATGCCCCAACAGCGTTTTTTAATTAAAAAAAGGAAATCGCTGTTCCAGCAACAATTTTTTAAAAATAAATAAATTGAGAAATCGCTGCATTAATTAATCATTTTTATAAAAAAAATTATATGGGAAATTGCTGCTGGGGTAGCGATTTCAGTTTTAATTTTTTTTTAGAAGAAATCGTTGCTAGGGTAGCGATTTTTTAAAGATTTTTTTCTTTTTGATGGAGTTAATGGGGTTAGTTTACGCGCAAGGTTCTCTCAGGAGCGATTTGTCCCTTTTGGTTTTTAAAAAAATAATTGATAAGCCGTTTATGCATTTTGAAGGAAAAAAGTGTCCCTTTTGGCTTCGGACTCTGATTCTTCCCATTTGTCCTAACTTTGGAGCACAGAGGTACCTGTTACTTATTGTTGGTAGGAGGTGGCATGTATCATATAGAATTAGTCGAGATGCACAAAAAGGGACTCAAACACCACGATAATTAAAAAAAATAAAAAATTGAAAATTATATTATGAAGAGTTCATCCAAAAGCATTTACCCTGAAGGCAGAAGAGATGGGTGGCTAAATGAATTGTCATTATATTTTGTATTTGTACAAGTATTTATTTTATGGCAGAGCATATATTATATCCTCAACCAAAATATCACTCTCAAGAAAATATTTAACTCATCCTTGCTGTTTCCTTTTTCATACCTCAAATTAAACAGAGGGTCCATATTCCATTTAAACAAATATGGAAACACCAATTTTTAAGATTATTATTGTTAGATAGAAACAAAATTTAAGACCCTCCCATTCTGTCAAAAATAGAGATCTTTCCCTAAACTTTCTGCATTTTTTTACAGCCATCCTCTATATTAACATTCACTAAAACATTCATGTTCTTTAAAATCGTATTTCACTATAGCAATCAAAAAAAATCGAAACAACGATGTTATAGAAGAGTTTGATTGTAAGTTGGAACAAGTTTAGGGGTACTCATGTTTTCTTTTTATCATCAACATAGATGTGATAGTTGTTCTTAATAGGAGTGTCATCTAATTTCATCACTTGACACAATACTATTTCATACTATGTGCAATTAGAATCGAAAAATCAAACCAAATCGACTAAAAATCACAAATACATTTAGTCTGGTCTGGTTCGAACCAACCAAACCAACTTAACATTGAATCTATTATATGTTTACAAATATGAGTTCACATCTACTATTTGTTAATTTTCATGGATTTTTACACATAAATTTATGCTCAGTATCGATTATCAAAAGTACTGAATTCAGATCAATCCGAAAACGATACTCTACCTCTAGCTCTGCTCCCAACTTATCTAAAAGGTACACAAGTGAATGTAGAAGAATAGTGGGACATAATAAATAAGCAACAAGAGGAAACATGAATTGCATGTACAAAAGATGATAAACACTTGAAAAATGAGAGTTCACTACTAGAACTACAAAACAAAACTATGTAGAGAACAAAGTGGAATTTTAGGAAGCTTCAAAGAGTGTCCCATGCTAAAGTTTTACAGTGTCAGTGCAATTTAATGTCAATTGGCTTTTTCAATTCGTATAATTTTGCCATATATAGTTATGTACCATTGTTATTATCTGAACTTCCATCCATCTTTCTGTTAGCTCATAACAAAATGTCAAATTAATCTTAAGGTTGACACAGCTAACTTGATTGAGGAAAAGGAAACCCTGGTGACAAAGCACTTTTGCCCTCGTAAGCGAAGACAGAGGAACCACAACTAGAAGTCTCGAGTTCGAGCCTTAGAAATAAAGTTGTCTCTGTAAGAAGTGTTTTACACCCCCACCCCCACAAAGTGGGATTTCTTAGTCAAAGCGAATACAAGAACCATTCAAAAACCATATTGTTTATTTTACATATATTTAGTGTAATCTCATAAGACAACGTGTTGTCTGAAGAGAATATTATGTATGTAGACAAAGACCTTTTGTGGGGTAGAGAGACTATTTCTGATTAAATACAGTACTCCACAGATAATTTTCAGCTTTGAGCTTTACACATAAGTTAAAGACTGTATATTTATGTTTCATTTATTAAATGCATAATGGTATACCTATGGGCTGTATAGGCTTTTATATGACATTAAATTTCATTTCCTAACCATCTTTTCCAGGGCTCCCCCTATATATATCTGACCTTATATGACAGATAATATTGTTGAGTGGCCATAAGTTTTGATTACTCCTGCTTCATTAAAGAATGACTTGTCGATATTCTTTGAACTATTGTTAGAATATCCAATGTGATCTCAGCTAACATCATTAAGACAAGAAAATTCAAAACTTAAGCCTCAAATAGATTTATAGGCGGATTCATAATTTAAAGTTTATGAATTCCTACCGAGATTTCAAGTTAATAATACATTAATAACTGAGTTCATGGTCAAATATATGTCTCCGTCGATGTGTCTGCTTAAGCGTGTTTTCAAAAAAAAATCTAAGAAATTATTCTTTTGTTCTAATTTCATTTAATTAGTGTATAATTTTTTCGAAATTATGGAATCCGTTTTAGCTATGACTTTTAGTTTTAAATTCAAGACTTCACGCTGAAGTAGACACATGTTTCGATTATTATTTTTTTAAATTACTTCTTTTGTTCTACTTAAATTTAATTAGTGTATATTTTTTTAGAAATTATGGAATCTGTTTTAGCTATGACTTTTAGTTTTAAATTCATATTCTTTAGGTATTGCTTTATTATTTTGAATGCCGGTAATATTTGTTTATATCTTGTAACTACTTTGAGTAAAAAATCAACAATCGATGACGAAAAATACTTTAATTATGGACCTCTTCACAATAAATTTGCGCAAACAAAAAGTAATTAGCAATTTAAATGTCTAAAATCATATTAAAATTTAATCAACTTTCTAAATTTTACCTATATCATCATATAAATTAAAATTAAAAATAAAAAATACTAAAATATTGGGTCCGTGCTGGCACGGGCACCCGTGTCTAGTGTTATTATAGATGAGCATATGGACAAAAGCTATTGGATTCACGTGAACCCACTACATCCTTCCCTAAACACGCTTTATAGGAATCACAACATTCTGGGGGAGGGGCCTTTCTCACCAAAATCTAGATCATTTAATTGCCTTTACTCAATAAGTTCAAATGAACCCAAATATAGATGTGAAAGACCACCAAAGTTTCAACAAATATTAACTTCCAAAACTCATAGTTTCAAGGGTACAATGAGTTCAGTGCTAAGAACCTTAAAGATTGAGCTCGTCAAACTTAAAAGGAAAAAGTTGTAGCCCCCTGTGTCGCCCGTCATGACAAAATGGCACGTAAGAAGCAGAAGCCCCTGCCACATAAAGCCGGAGAACTACAAGTTTTATGAGTTCACATGTACTATTTGTTAATTTTCGTGGATTTTATACATAATATTTATGCTCTGTATCGGAAGTACTTAGTTCTAATGAACCTGATACAGTACTTTACATCCACCTCTACTCTCAACTATCTAAAAGGTCCACAAGTGAATGCAGAAAAATGGTGGGACATTACAAAATAGAAACAAGAGGAAACATGAAATGCAAGTACTAAAGATGATAAAGACTTAAACAGAGAGAGTGCATTATTAGGACCACAAAACAAAACTATGTAAAGAAAATCAGTGAAATTTCATAGAGCTTCAAGAGTGTCCTGTGCTAAAGTATCAGTGGAGTTAAATGTCCATATATATTTTTTCACTTTTTACAATATATCCATATATAGTTGTGTACCATTGTTATTTCTTAGTTCTTATAATAATAATAATAGCAATAGTGTTTTGTTGCATGACCAAGTAATACATTATGGATAACTCAAATTTATCTTTGTATCGATCTTTGTCCAATATGCTCATTACAAAATCTCAGACCACTGAAAGTGAAGACTTAGGAACTTTAACTAAAAGTCCCAAGTTCGAGCCTTGGGAATGAAATCGCCGCAGGTGGAGAACGCTTTACCTCCCATACTCTGGCATGAATCCGGATTAGTCAAGCCCAAAAGCAATACTGGCCATCGGGTGGAAAAAGAAAAAGCCCGAAGAACTGTCAGGTCGTCGAGTCCAAACCTAAAGAGGAAGTGGGTGCCCCCTAAGTTGATCATCCTACCAGCTGATGGACTATGAGGCAGGGAAGGCTGAACGAGAACCAGTTGAAACATCCGAACATCTTAAATGATCCCTTCATAGTCCATTCATTAAGGTTGGAAATGGCGATAATCATGTTGGTTTTACTTTCTCTTTTTTAAGACTTTTTTTTGGGTGTAATCAATTTCATGTTAAGAACTGTCCAGTCCATGCACAGATAATTTTCAGGTTAAGCTTTGCACATAACTTAAAGATTATAAATGAATTCTTTATATGTATGCATAATATGTATACCTACTACTTTTTGTGCCTCTGCCACATGATTAAGTAATTTGTTTTCAGTGCATGATCTACAGGCTGTATAGCTTTTATATGATATTAAATTACATTTTCTAACCATAATTTTCAGGGCGGCCCACCCCTACAGAATGTTTTCAATATTCATTAAACGATTGTCAGAATATCCAATGTGTAATCTCAGCTAACATCTTGAAGAGAAGAACTCAAGCCTTCAGTCTTAAAACATATTCAATTGTAGATCCATGTGAAGTTGATGAATTCCTACTGTGATTTCAAGTGAATAATACAATAATAACTGAGTTCACAATCAAATATTTATATATATTTAGTGGAATTGTTATTATAGAGAGACAGTATCGGGGGCTCCGGGCAAAAACTATTGGGTTCATCTGAACCCGCAACCGACCTTCTAGATCTTCCTTGAACACACTATGTAGGAAACACAATGACCTTGAGGAAGGGGTCGTCCAATCCCATTTAAATTTCTGACTCCCTATAACTAGACGTGGATGTAACCTTTGCTCAATAGGTTCAAATGAAACCATATTAGACACGAAAGACCACTAAAGTTTCAACAAATATTAGATTTCAAACTCATAATATCAAGGGTACAATGAGTTCAGTGCTAAGAACCTTAAATATTGAATCCATCAAATTTATAAGGAATAAGGCGCAGCCCCTTGTGCTGCCCGTTATGACTAAAATGGCACGTAAGAAGAAGTCCTCTTAACTACAAGATTATGTTGTAGATAAAGTTATGTGCATCACCAAATAGGTTGAATCAAAGAGCAATTCTCAAATGCATAACCAAATATGTTGTGAACCATGGGACATGGCTACCCTTTTTATGAGGAGGGAAGCAAGAGCGAGCATGGATAGACCGAAAGACTACAAGACTAAGTCCCTGCCACATGAAGTCGAAGAACTGCAACCTCATTCTCAGTGGCGGATCCACAATTTTCACTAAGGGGCCGGGTTCGAAAAATGAAAATGTAGTGCTTGGGATTTGAACTTGAGTTGTGAATTTTAAATTTCCCTAAACCACTAGCAAGCCTTGTGTTTAGGGGAATCCAAGTTTATATATACACTAAAAAGTTGTTTTCTTATAAAATACCTTATATATACCATGTAATTTTTAGCCGAGGAGGTTTGGGTGAACACCCTCGCCCCCTCCAAGATCCGCCCCTGCTTATGCTACAAGCTAATAAACAAGACAAATCATACAAACAACTAAAATTCAGTAGAGAACAACAATATTATGATTGCAGAAATAGATTATGGTACATTCTTATTTTAGCAGAAATGCAATTCGACATGCAACTAAAAACAACTATTTGAAAGTAGAACATGAATTTTTAACGTGAATCAGAGTACTCAAATAATAGCTAGAAGAAAGGGCTCTTTAGTCACAGCTAGGGGTGTTCACGGGTTGGTTTGGGTCGGTTATTGGTCAAAATCAAAACCAAACCAACTTAATCGGTTTTGAAATTATCAAAACCAAACCAAACCAAATATAATATACATTTATCGGTTTGATTGTTTTCGGTTTTTGTTTGGTTTGGTTCGGTTATTCGGTTATTAACCATACATAAAAATAAAAGAAACAATTCGTTCAAAACGTGAAAAAAGTGACAACAATCCATTCAAACGAAAAAATAGTTAGAATGACTGACATTACAGAACTTTGGATCATTGAATTTAATTGTCCTTCTCTTCTAAGATTTTTTTCATAATTCGAAGGCCATTAATGACGTATTTCTCGAACTAGAAAGTATTTGATAGTCAAGAAAAGTGACATATTTTGATCTCTTTTTATGAATACCCAAAAAGTTGTGGAATATTCAACTTAATCGGTTTTAAAATTATCAAAACCAAACCAAACCAAATATAATATACATTTATCGGTTTGATTGTTTTCGGTTTTTGTTTGGTTTGGTTCGGTTATTCGGTTATTAACCATACATAAAAATAAAAGAAACAATTCGTTCAAAACGTGAAAAAAGTGACAACAATCCATTCAAACGAAAAAATAGTTAGAATGACTGACATTACAGAACTTTGGATCATTGAATTTAATTGTCCTTCTCTTCTAAGATTTTTTTCATAATTCGAAGGCCATTAATGACGTATTTCTCGAACTAGAAAGTATTTGATAGTCAAGAAAAGTGACATATTTTGATCTCTTTTTATGAATACCCAAAAAGTTGTGGAATATTCGAGATACATTTTTCAAGGGAATATAATATCATTTATATAGGCATAAATTAGAGTTTAGGCTAGAGTAGCCTCCAAAAAGCCCTAACTGAAATAGGATTGCTGTAGAGTCCGATAAAATTTTGAT